TCTGGTCGATGTTAACCAACGTTTCAGAGGTCATACTGCCTCCGTCATCAGGGCGATGAGTATGAAGATTGCATTGCTGAATATGGAATGTATTTATAATAATATGCAATGAAAAATTTAATTAATTGAAGATAAGCGTGTTTTTTAAACCATTCCAGAAAATTTTGGGACACACTGTGTATATCATCATTCAAACATAAATATTTTGTCATCAGACAAACTAGAAATAAATTTTGATTTTAAAAGCATTCAGGCCACCACAGCAAACAATTAACCCTTCTACTGTCAGGCTTAGTGTTATAGCTTATGTACAATTGATCAACCTTTTACACAAGAAGAAGTTGTAAAAAAAATCTGTCAATTGATTCCAAATGTATGAAGGCGCAATGGCCAACAAGATGCAACAGTATCATAAAATAAGAAAAACAACAAAACCAGATAGAACACATGCTAATAAAATCCTCTGAGGTCATCAGGTGCGTAAAATGGTTAGAAGTCTCCGACATTTCGCAGACCACCTGTCCTCATTTATTAACGACTGCTGCTGTGAAAGCTACGCATTTTATATAAAACACGTGTATTCTCATGCCAACTAGCGACATATGTGACCTACAACCAGTAGAAAACCAGCTTCTAGGAATGCAACTGCGACAGACAGAGAAAAGTTAAATGTAATTCCTGATTTAAATTTCTAAGTAATTCCAGTACACTCACTTTTTTTGTTTTGCTTCTGCCAATTGGTGAAACAACGGTTGTCATCAGAGCTTCTACATCTTCCAGCCCTGGTGTAGACTCCTTTGTATCAGGGCTGAATCCATCAACCCAACCGCCTCCTACACAAACACATATCAATTATTACGAAACAAAATCCAAATACAGAAAACTCCACCTGACACACTTCCTCATCTTAAATGTTAAAATAGTTTGAATCTAAAACTGTCCCACATCATATCATTCCATTTAAAATGCTTGTTGTGGATGCACGTTACCAACAGAAGTGCCTTTAAGTGTTTCCTCATTTTTGTGTACTAAATAAAAACTTTCAATTTGTTACTCGTTTTCCAACATCTGAAACAGCGTTAGTTCATATGTACCACTTAGCCATCTTGTACAACTTTCTTCTATAAAATACAGACACTTAAAGCGTTCTAAAACGAGGTGGCTGGGAAAATATATGGACCTAAGGAGATCTAAGGGGGCAATTTAGGACAATGCATGAGCAAGAACGTCGTGATTTATAGGACCGTAAGTCACCTAGAAGTGTTAAGATAGTGGAATGAGGGCGACGATGGAGGCAGTAAGCACCTATGAAACGTCCGTCGATTTCTGCAAGAGTACAGTCACCTTCGAACATTTTATAAACTGTAAATGGCACAAAAATGAACAGTTGCATTAATAGTGAAATAATTACACTCACAAGATTTTGATAAAAATGATCCTAACTCTTCATTCTCCCCCCTCCCAAACTTGTGCCCCTTTTTTCTATTTTCGAACTCTACACTCGAGGGTTCACTGTGATGCTGATTTTGCTGACTTCTCCCATCGATACATGCCCAAATCATTTGGTTTTCACAACGTGCGATACCATAATAGCTACAAAAAATAATTTCCCACACACACGCAAGAATTTTAAATTTGAAAATGGTTTTCACTGTGCCCTTTGTGTTTGGTCCTCTGATAAACATAAAATAATTTTTATGATCTCAGCAGCGTATCTGGTATACATGAGATCGGTTGCCCCATGACGTCATAAGATTTCAGTGGAACACTGAGCTATTTAGCGAGTGTATAATTGAAATTTATTTAGTGAAAGAATGGCCTAAGCTGCATGACAACTGAATGAACTGCGATGAAGCAAGTTGGTGGGGGGTGGCTCTAAAACGCACTTCGATAATAGAATCTGAGAGGAATTCAGCGTTGCAATTATCATTGCATTACAAAACTCTAAATAGTAATTGTTCTCTTACTAAGTTGGCAACCAGCAGGTTGTTCTTATGTTTCTTGCCTTAGTTTGGGTTTAATCTCTAACTTTCTTGTACTCAAAAGTCTCTTAATATCAGTTTGGATTATTTATTGATTATCTACCGACTGGTCACGCTGGGAAATGACTCAGGCGTTACGATAAAGTGATTATGAACATAAAACGTGTTTTAATTGTTTAAAGCTCGAATATCATATGAATTAATATATAAAAATGCACTTTAAACGTAAAAAAATCGTAATGTTTCCGCATTAAAATAATCAACTTGTTATTCCGTTTTAGGGGAAAAATTGCTGTTAATCTTACGAAATCAATAAATAAACTCTGTGGGAAAAATGCAGAATTATTGATTGTTAAAGTGGGTTGGGATCGCGTGGCAGAGGGCAACTCTTCTTACCGAGGTCAGTATTTCTGAGCAAATCATCTCAAATCGTATTCCAAACCCTCTTCTTAAAACATTGGACCACACGCTTTATATAACCATTCACATCCTAACGACGAAAATCATTTCAATCCGAAAGGTAATTATATGTACCGGCTCATTTAAAAGTCAGTAACTCTTGTATTTTGAGTTCGTGGTTTCGTGTGATTCTCAGTGCAAACATCGATCATTTCCTTAAACAGCGTTAACCGGTCGATCTTCGCAATGGTGAGGTGTTGTGTTTTCTTCGCGGTACGGGCTGGATTCTTAAATGTTACGTAGATTAGTTTCGGCTTCAAAGGTTTAAATATTATAAATCACAATGAGACTTTAATAGTATACGGTATGTCTACTTTTATTAGAAAGGCTATTGCTACTTCTTAAACATGTAAAAGGGATGAACACGTGCGTTCGACGTACGGTAGAAATAAAGGCGTGGTATTCGGAGGGGCGGGAGGGGTAGAAGACATGGAAGTATGTACTACCCATACTAAAAACATCATGTTCCAGCGGCAGTACTTCGAAGCTCGTTGTCTCAATTCGTGTTTCGGTAATGTCTAGTACATTCGTTTGTCTTCATTCCACCCGCAAGTGAGTGACGTAGGCGAAACGCACGGTTTTATCACGACTACCGTGATATAGCAACTGTGTTATGAGTTATCAGCAGAAGACCCGCATTTCGTCTCAAAGTAATTTTTCTAACATCGTTTGTCATTTGTAATGGAAGATCACACACGGAGTGCCCGAGGAATGGTAAAGCCTGAAGGAAAGTAACCTCTCGGAAGACGTACGAGTTTGTTGTTCATTAAACGATGCTGTGAGCAGCGTAGAATTTACAGCGTCGAATAATTGGACGATCAAGAATGAACTAATTCAAAAGGATATGTAGAAATCGGCCATGGCTTGATTTGAAATATTCCGGTAACGAACTGAAAGGACTGAGTTAACATCAAAAGCTTCAAGGTTTAGATTTGAACCAGGGACTTTTCGAACACGAAGTGGGAGTGCCAATTACTTGGCTGAAACGTTCAGTACCTAAGCTTTGATAAGAAGATAATATTAAAATGTATCTTTAGACTCGTGATAGTGACATGTGGCGGGCTCTTGTGAACACGGCAAGTAACCTCCTCTTTCCGTGAATGAAGTGAAGTATTCAGATCAGTTGGGCGTAAGTGTTGTCGGTTCAAAAATGGATTCTCCACCACCGCGAAGTTGGTAATTCTGTTAATTTCTGTGGCACACGGGAGACACATCACGATCACCAAACGTGGGAATAATTCTACGGACCGATGATTATTTTTCTGGCGTAGGAAAATTTGCTCGTTTGATGGAAAACAGGTTGTTACTGCTGATGATTCCAAGGCCGAAATGGCTTTTATAAAAACATATTCTGTCTTGGAAATCAGGCATTACACTGGAAATGTGGAAGAAATGAATAGGGCAATCTAGACAACGTTCTTCTATAAACTGTCCACCACTGAAGATCTTTTACGAGCCTCGTTCGAAAGCTACAGAATTTTGGTGTTGGTACCAAACGGCACATTGCCTGCTTAAGCAATGAAAGTATCCAAGATTTAGGGTTTTTGACTGACGCAAAAGAAAAGTCTATCAAAGTATGTTCATGTCTGTACATGACATCAAAGTGAAAGTCGTGTACAGTAGCGAGTATCACAGACAGGAGTTGTTGGATTAAGTGTAATCAAAGCTGTTACTTCAGGTCATCACTTTTAATGACTGTCGTATTAGTACCTTGGAAACTTGAATGTCGAAACAGGAGGTTCTATGGAAGAGGGCTCAAAGCAACAGAACGCTAACGAGAAGCTGATAAAGACTGACTCAGAGATGGAGGATGAATCAGAAAGTATTGTAATTATTGACATTAAATTTATGCGAGATATAAACTGACATATTAAGAAATACGTGGCGATGACTTCGTAGTTCGAGTAACATTTTAACTAGAACTTCAGTGACGTATCACTCGATAGAGATGGATATGACTTGAAATTCGGAAATTTTATCACAGAATTCACAAGAGCCCGCCCCCAGGCTCTGTCATTAAGTCAGATTAATCCAGTTCGCCCCGTGTCTCCTTAGTACTCTTAAGATCCATATTAATGTTATCCTTCCGTCTATGCTCAGCTCTTCCAAAAGACGTCTTACCTTCAAGCCCGTAACAACAATTGTGTACAGCTTTCGTTTTTGTTTGAAGTGACCAGAGAGATATTAAATGCAAAGAAACGAGGAAGAATCTCGCGTCGTGGCGCCAGTCCGGACAGCAGAGACGCCGTGGGGCCGTCTTCATGTTCTGTTCGGCGACCGGATTCAGATATTGAAGACGATATCAACTGATTCGTGCCTTCTCTGATTGTACGCCGTCATGCGATGGAACACGGTCTGTCATTAACATGTCATGTCATGTCATACGCCTGCCCAATAGGCATCGATGTGTATACGGGCAGTGTTTTCCCTGTCCATAGGGTTTCCTTGCCTGCTCCGTGACGTAGAGGTTGAGTAGGTCCGGGTATCAAGTATCAGCTGTCACAGTCGCACGAGAAGCGACCAACCAGCGACGTATACAACTACAAGGTGACCAGAAAGTCACGCAGTAGCGGTATTTCAGTATACAGACAACTCCAAGACGTTGTTAGTTAAGTGTATCTTGCATTCCTGAGCTTATCGTATACGTTAGCAGTCATTTTAAAGTATTAAAACCACGTATAAATTATCATATAGTAACTTTCTGATAATTATTGTAATAAATACATTTTTAAAAGTTTATTTATTTAAATCTTACAATTATGTTTGGCATTTTGTTTTATAAGGAACTGTATCTATTGGCGACTTTGAGAAAATTTGAATTAACCCTTTGAAGCCGAAGATCGTCTGAATATTATGTATGAATCCAGACCGTACCGCGAAGAAAACTTTTCACTTAACCATTAGAAGTCGAATCAGGCGGTACCACATAAGATTTAACAAAAGAACATCCCGGTCAAAGCCTTAATTGTGACGTTCGTAAATCGAAAGTTCGTAGACAGAGAGAGTTGCCTGAATTTCGATTCCATTCGATTAGTAAACAGAAAATATCGCTGTGAGTGAAACAAAAGCCAACGCAGGTCGCGTCATGTTGTAACCTGCTCGCACTAGTTCGTCAGTTGTCTTCAAACAATCGAAGTTCGAAGGGCGTCTTTTTTTACGAGCGTAAAGAGTGTTCATTATCGAACTCTATCTGGCATCTCGATCTTAATTGTCAGAACGAGTTTAGGGATGTTTTTTTATCGATTGTCCTGTACGAAACAAATGAACAGCGTCTGGTCTGGTGAACCATTTCCGTGACTGAAGAAACTCTTCACCGTATTGCATCAAATACGTGGAAGAGGTTAACTCAACGAGGTGGACATTTCCAGCACTAAATATGACAATGGTTTTTGTTTTGTGGTTTCATTGTAATTTGTTTTTTTTGAAAAACAGAACTTATGTCAGTTCTGGGTTGCGTACGCTCTGACATCCATATTATTGTTATATGTGGCAATCCGACTCGTGTTACTGGTTTTAACTAATGCGACAAGATCTGCGAAATGATGTACGCGTTTCTCACAAAAGAAGTTTTAAAATGTGACGCTAGAGGCAGTCCGGGCGTCAGCTGTAATCCAATTTCCTCGGTGCCTGTTCGCTGTTTGCGAGTTGTATTGGATTCTGAT